CAGAACTGGAGTGCAGAGGTCTTTCTATACCAGGCTTCGTGTAGCACAGTGAGGTGGAAGATGCGTGATCCCTGCAAGCCCGACACAGCAGAGATGCTGTGGACACCCGCTGGTCCCAGCAGCAGACAGGGGAGCAGGAAATCTGCTTGTGCCAACAGTGGGTTCTTATAGCCGAGGAAGCTGCCCGTGCCGTTTGGCAAGCAGCACCGCGAGGCTGCTCACCACGAGTGAGAAATGTTTGTGTTTTGTTCCTAAAATATACGTGGAGCGCAACGCCGCCTCGATGTGTAATGTCACAGGGAGGCTGCAATGGGTCTAAGGTTTTCCCTGAAAACATCTGCTCTGGATATATAAATATTTTTAATTATGTGTTACTCGGTGACATTTGATCCATCCCAAAAGCAAAAGGCTGGCTTGAGGAAAATATTTTGAGTCATAAGGCTGTAATTTATGGTCGTTACTAAACAACATCCTGCGAACGGGGTGAGCTGCTCGTATGAGAGGCGATGCTTCAATCCTCCCATAGCTTCCTAGTGGCCTTCCTGGGGTGGGATCCTGAAAATGTCCCTGCTCCAGGAAAGAAGGGGCTGTGATAACGCAGGGAAAACTGATGGGGAGCAAAAAGATGACCAAAGTCTTTTTTTTCAGCTTATCTAGAAGAAAGTAAAGTGTGAACTTTTTTTTTTTTTTTAATGGATGGTTTGTGGAGTTCCCCATTCAAAAGCAATTCTCATTAAAGACCTGAACAAATGTAATTAAACCGATTTGAAAGTAATTATGTAAAGAGATCTAGCTTATCCGAGTAGACAAGGTGAACACTAGAGAAAACGTCACTTGCTGAGAGCAAACTAAGTTGGCCTCTCTGAGGCAGAAGCCGTGGGCCTAGGAGAAAGTATTTTAGAACGACATGACATATATGCGACAACTAAATGTGTTTTAATCCTTAAATGTAACTCGCACTGACGATGGAGACCCGGTAACGCTGCAGACGCTGCCCGAGCGCGGCTGCCGCCGCGTGCCGACCTGCTCCTCGGGTGAGCGTCAACCGGTGTCCGCGGAGGAAGGTGCCCGGGTGGCGCGGCCAGCACCAAGGTACCCCCCAAAGCTTCAAAATGGCACTTTGGGCAGAAGTGGGACCTTTTCACGGGGGTTTTTCCCCATCACGGTCTTCCCCCGGAGCGCGGGGCCGGCCTTCGGGAAGCCGCTGGTGGCCACAGGTTGGGGACGTGAATGGGGCCCTCCGGGACCCGCGTGCGGAGGCACCGGACGGGTCTGCGGGGACCCAGGGAAGGCACAGGCCCCTGCGGTGACACCGCGGTGACAACGCTGGCGACGTGGCCTCTGCAGCGCCAGGCCCTGCGTTACGAGCGCTCCCTCGTAACATTCCCTGTTCCCTCAGAACTACGCCCAAGCAGCACTTCAGCAGAAAACTTGGATTTAGCTTAGAAAACGTAGATTCTTTTTACTCTTTTTACGATTATTATCAGCCAGACTGGTGAAAGCGCGCGTTCCCCCCAGCCCCGCCGGCGGGGAAGGGGACAGGCCCCTG